TGTCGCCTAGCAACAGCTCCTCACCTTACATGAAGATGATCCAATATGAAATCAAAATGATCAAGGTGAGTTCTCGAGACAGCAGTAACAGCTGCTGCCGGTGCGGACATACAGCAGATTCACTGTTTATGCTGCTGCGTATAGCTGAGCTGTTTATGTGTGTATTGGCTAATCTGTCAGGAAAAGTAAACAAATACTAATTGGCTGCACTGACAATCAGTTCAGACCACATTTCCATGGTAGACAGCAATTAAATACAAGAAGAAGGCTAGTTAAAATGGTCCAAATGTGTTTACAGAGCAGGACTATACGCTGCTCTAAATAAGAGTGCTAAATATCCCAAATTACCGGCAGTTTTATTTCTAGATTTCTGTAAATAATCTGTTTGATTGTACATATTTGGGGACGAATAGCAATTATTCTAGCCCTTTTATTATTCCTGATTGCATTATTACCACATACATACTGTATTTAATTAATGGCTTATATCCTCCCTTTTTCTACTTCTCCACGCTCTTCTCCTATTATATTTGTATGTCCAGATGTTCAAAGGTTTTGACAAGGCCAAGGATATCCAGTATGTGTACACTCCAGTCTTCTCCTCACTGTGTGGAGTCAAACTGGACTCCAACAACAAAGCAGGATATCTGCTCTCAGGTACAAGATGCAATGTCAGTTTTCATATTTCATTTTCAGCAGAAAAAAGCAGCAAAAGGTCTGACAATACAGTAGAATCATAGTGGCAGGAGAGCTTTTCCTTTAAAGTGATAATTCAACATTTTGGGAAATGCAATTATTCACTTTCTTCCTGAGAATATCAATACCACTTTTAATGTTTGTACTGTAAATATGAGGCTACAGTGATCAGCCAGTTAGCTTGGCTTAACATAAAGACTGGAAACAGAGAAAAACAGCTATTGTGGTTCTGTCTAAAGGTAACAAAAAACGCATATCAGTACCTCTGAAGCTTACCAGTGAACACCTTATATATTGTTTGTTTAATCTGTAAAAGAACCCAAGAACGAGAGACAAGTTGTTTGCCCCTCTTATTTTAGTTTTTATGTTAAGTTGAGCTAACTGTGCAGACATAAGAGTGGTATTCATCCACTCATATTCATCATCTCGGCAAGAAAGCAAATATGTGTATTTTGGAAAATGTCAAACTGTTTCTTTTAACTAGATTTGTTGTAAACATTGTGATATTTTTCATTTTGATATCAGTCAACATGATTCATATTATTCCATTAGCTAGTATTTGATATTAAAGTTTCTATCTACTTTTTATAACAGCAGTATTAACATTTATAGTCATAATAATCCCTAAGGTTGTGTGTTCAATGGTGCTGTTGTGATGTCACTAAACAGGAAGTATGTGGAGTGATGGGAGAATTTCCATTGGCCAGTGTGACCTAGTAGAGTCCTGGGACAACTTGTCACTGTCACAAAAGAAGAATCTCAACTACAGATACCAGATGGGCTGTGAATGCAGAGTGAGTAAGGACTGTTCATTCTCTATTCATACATATTTATATTTGTCCCAACTCATCTATCTGTCGTAGAGAAGCCTCAAGAAACCAACCAAACCAAACACAAAAATCACCTTATTCATAACCTATGGGAGGCCAACTACTTCAGGATCAAATAATGAGATGGGTGAGTGAGTAAACGAATGAACCAAAAACTCTTCTTTCCTCAGATCAACACCTGCTACACAGTGCCGTGTGCGTCAACAGGAGAAAACGAGTGCTTGTGGACTGATTGGCTGCTGGATAACAGCCTAAATGGGGAGCAGGCTCGGCAGTACGCCTGTATCCGCCGCTCTGACACAACCTGTAGCTGGTACCGGGGTGGGCCTCCACCTGAGAAAGACTTCCTGGACATGACTGACCCTTGACGTGTAATTCTGACATTCATTTGATTTCACTCCTGCAATGTCCCAAGAAACATTTCCTGCTTTTGCTTGTGTAGCTCAAATTTGGCGTGCAAAGTAGCAACAATGAACAAATTGGCTGATTTTCTCATTTGAAGGAGCTTAACTCAACTTTGAGCTTCTGTTAGCGGAGTTCAGGTGGTTGCTGCAGCAATGCTAGGAACATTTTCATAAAGTGCAGGGGCTTTCAACATTCCTCTGACTCATTTTCTCGCTCTCACACATTCCACTTCACTTGCTGTTTTCCACAGAATAAGAATAGCAGCATACCATCCACTACAAATTATTCACCCCAGAGTGAATCTTTTCTTCGTTTCTGATGGCACACATTCTGGTGTTGACATTTTATCTTTATATATTATCTATCCCATACAAATGAAAATTCACTGTATATATATTGAACAAAGCAACACCAGATATTCCCCAGTTAATTATATTTTGTCAAAATCTTACACATTAACTATATATGATCACAATTCTTGTACATCTAAATCATCACAGTTTATACTCTCAAATTGCTGAGAATGTAAATATTGTACTTCAGTGAGAATTAACATTTTAAAGGCTAACCGTATTTTGTCTTAGCATAGACATTGTTATCTTATGGCTTTGTGTGTTTAGTCTCCTTGGTTGAACTCGTACTTTGTACTTTTTCTTGTGCCAAAAATCTAATCCAGCGCTTTAACAACAGCACTGCCACCTGTAGACGCCAAGCCACCTCTCCTTAGAGGAAATGATGTAACAGGACACGGTTCAATTCCCTCTTTTTTAACTCCTTAAAAACAGGAAGTGGATTCTCCTCAACGTTCAAGTTCAAGAAAAGAACAATACACAATATGTTAACCAACAAAAATATAAATAACTTATATTCACGGATAAGATGTAATTAGTGATTTAATTGTTGTTTTATAGGCATTATTTAATATAATGACTCAACATTTATTAAAAGACCCAAATCTGAATTGACCCCTGTCTTGTTACTGGACTACTTCACTGAAGTCATACAGATTAAAAAGCATTATTACTCGCTATCTTCATGTACGAGCCAAGATCATATTAGGGTCACATTCAACGATACAATATTTAAATTTAACCTGCATAATGCAGCAATTTGCCTGACACGTTGGAAACATATTGTTTTGAAATATGTTAATACTTAAATTTAGACTTCCATGACTGGTATGATTATAATGAGTAATAACAGTATGGCTTTAGTGAATTATTATCAAACAATTTCATGTTTGTTTTATACTGAAAGAATTGTTTGGGTTTGTATTTATGTCTCTGTTTCTGTCTAAATAGAGTTTTCTATTTCCATGTACCAAAAAAGATTGTATATAAAATGTCTCAATGGAATAGTGTGACTCTTCTTTTCTTCTCCTTAGTAACCAAACTGTTAGCACTCTGGTCCCTGCAGAGGACAATATATATTTCTTATACCTCACCTCTATATAATACATTACCTACAGTACAGGACAGCAAATGTTATAGTAAATATAGTAACTAAAATTCATAAAGCAAATAAGCAAGTTCATCTTTCTCATTAGTGTAATATACAGTAACGTATTTTTTATTATTTTATATTAGTCTTATTTTGTAATTTTTCTGTAATCTCAACACATATTTGTGTGCAACAATACGGAACATATGAAATTAAAACATTAAAGTACACCCAGTAAACACAATGAACTGAATTTAGGAATAATTCAAAATAAAGTGTGAATTTTTTATCGGTTGAAGTTGGTGTTTTGGAAGTGTTTGCTGCAGGGTTACTGACAATATACAATCTGTAAACACAAAAAAACCCAACCCATCTTACCATGTCTCTGTAGTTGGGGTAGAAAGTCTGATCAATGAGAGGGAATTTATCTGAACCAAGCCTCTTCTGATTATTAATCAGCTGGGAAAACTGGTGGAAAGGAGGAGAACAACAGCAAGAAAGTCAACTACAGGTGGTTGAATGAGTGTGTATAATGTGTATTATAAAATGTACAGCACAGTACTGAACTGTCACATTATTAATATAGTAACAATCAATAATGTCATAGTGGAGCCACAGAAAGTCACATAAGAAAGACAAAAACCCTCAAAACAAACTTGCTTACAGCCCAAGGTTTGTCGCAGAGGTTGTAGATGGAGTCCAGAGAGTTGACTGAGGGGATGCCTGCATACTGGAGACCAATGATCAAGTTCCTAAAGTCCTCATTCTGGGCCATGCTGAAGGCGTGCTGGCGCACCAAGACGAAGTCGGGCCTGAAAGACCTGGTGTGAGAGCAACAGAGGTAATCAAGAAGAAATAATGAGGGTTGAAATAAGACAACATTGACATTTCTAGTTTTACTGTACCTCACTTACATGTACATTTCCCCATACAGCTTATGTTGTTAGAAAAGATTTAAATAATTTATATTCTGACTGATTGAATCTGTGACTCTTCTTTTCTTCTCCTTAGTAACCAAACTGTTAGCACTCTGGTCCCTGCAGAGGACAGTATATTTTTCTTATACCTCACCTCTATACAATACAGTACCTACAGTACAGGACAGCAAATGCTATAGTAAATATAGTAACTAAAATTCATAAAGCAAATAAGCAAGTTCATCTTTGCTTGTTCAGTAAAATTATGTTACTATATATGACACTAATGAGGTCATATACAGTAACATAATTTTTTATTGTTTCATATTAGTCTTAATTTGTAATTTTTCTGTAATCTCAACACATATGTGTATGCAAGAATACTGTTGCATGTGACATTAAAACATTAAAGTGCACCCAGTAATCACAATGAACTGAATTTAGGAATAATTCAAAATAAAGTGTGAATTTTGAACTAAAGTGTCAGAAATAAAGTTTGAACAGTGTCAGGAAAAAGGGTCAAAGGCTGGTTATTTGATAAAAAAACAGACATTTTTGGATGGCATTAGAGGAAAAACCCACAAAGCCACAAGTGAAAGATTATAAGTTTGTCTTTTCCACTGAGGATGCTGTGGCAGTAGAGAGAATAAGTCTCTTTGGCCACATAAATTACTAAAATTGGACAAAGATAATTGACAATGACGCGGTTATAGCTCTCATCTGAGAATAGATCATCATCTGTGAAGGAGTCTTAACAAGCAATCTGTTTTGGATTGCTATATCAATTTTCCTGGCATTGAAGAAATTTAATGGTAAATGAAGCTTGAAGTGGGAAATGGACATTTATTTTCACATTATCTGTAATCAAAATGACACAACTATTTAATGACTTTATAATAATAATTTTACAAGCATTGGTATACCTGTGGCAAATCTATCTATGACATAGTATCATTCATAAAGAACATTTAATACAAAAGTCTACATTTTAACATGGAGTTTTGTTCTAAAATATTATATTTACCATCTGAAAAATAGATTAAAGAAACATTCCACAATAGTAGCCTAAGCTTTGTTTTTTTTGTTTTTTCAGGATTTCAAAAACTGTGCACCCAATCATGTTGTCCCTCTACTGCAACCACACAGTTTAGCAAGAGATTTTAGATCACGTCAAATATTTTTAAATTGAATTTATGGTTATATGTTCTTGAATACATTTGTGTTTCAAACACTGAGAGTGAACAGAACCTGGGAGATATAAGAATCTTCAGCAAAGTGACTGATGACCCTTTATGTTTTAATGCATTACTTAGTAAGACAATAAGCAGATGAAAGGGGGCGGCTGTAGCAATTATTAACTCAACACAAAATCCCTACCCTCTAAACAGACACTGCTCATATTGTTGTATATGAAAGTGTCTCTCAGGAAGGTTGGTAAAATTTAAAATAATGATGATGATCTAGTTGTTCACTGTTGCCACAGTCCTTCATAATTACATGGATGCCACATAAACACACATAAAATGATATATTGTGACACATGGCTGCTGCAAAAGTAAAGTAAAATAAAGTGATCAAGTGGCCACATTAGTCATTGTCACTGCCCTATAGTGACTGACTGATTGCCTGCACCGTGTGGGGTAGGAGCGGATCAATAGAGTATCAATAGTCTTGTTTTATTGTTTTGAGTATTGCAACTAGCGTCATTAGGATCAATACAGAAAAATTAGATCAGTCGCACATTAGATCACATCTTGCTAACATGTGATAGAGTAATTAACGGATAATCAGTTATTGGCAGTTCAGCTGGTGGTCATAAAAAATGTGTTAGTAGAAGTAGTTTATCAAAGATCCATTCACCTCAAATTATTAGTTCATGAGGAGACTGTCCTCCCAAGAAGTGCATCATTCCTTTCAGCAAGGGCCTCAAAACAACATTTACGTTTCAAGTGACAAAGCCTTTTGGCAGACATAGTAATGACGATGGGAGGAGGCGGCGATATTAAAGAGTATAGGGAGGAAGTCGGGGTGGATGGGTCAACAAACACAGGAGACGACTGTTTCATTTTCCGCTTCAACAATTAATGTTTTTTTATAAGCATAATCACAAATGGTCCACCTTAGCCTGGTTTATTACTGTAACCATGACAGCAAACTTGTGACTTGAGAGAAAAACGGGGGATGAATCGACACAATAATATATCAGACAATAATAGGCCTCAGGTTTGGGGTTTTATGATCTATTATAATTTTTATGATTTTTTTTAATGTTGTACTTTAAAATGTGACGGCCTCCAGAGCAAAACACTGACAACCACATCAGCACTGGAGCTCAAAGAAGCAATTACTGAACGCCGGGTCAAGGGCAAAAACAATATTCAGTGCAGTTCAGCTCAGTGAAAGGTTGATGGTCATAGGGCATGACTCCTGTTATTTTTCCCTTTTGTCTCTGAATGTGTGTATGAGAGAGAGAGAGAGAGAGGGAATGTGAGGAAAAGCAGAGAGAGAGAGAAAGAGAGAGAGAGGGGAGAGAGGTGTGAGAAAAGAGATGGAGAGAAAAAGTACAGAGTAAAAGAGATGTAGAGAGGAGTGAGAGAAACGAGACAGAGAGAGAGAGAGAGAGAGAGAGGGGAAAATCTGGCACAGTGTGACCACCACCAGCTCTTCATGCGCTGAGAATACTAATCAGACACTCCAAGAAACTAAAAAAGACTCTGGTGGAGAGGACACAGCAATTAATGTGACTCTAATCTCTTCATTACTGACAGTAGGCTGCACAGATCAACATGGCCATGACTCTCAATTTAATACCCTGGGTCTGTGTGGTCAGCAGTGCCATGGTCATCCTAGCTGCTTTCCCTTTGGAGTGTTCACTGTGCACTTTGTATATTTAACGCAATTTAATGCTCTACGGCCATGTTAGCAGCTTTGGGAGGCTGTAGCAGTGCTCCAAAACGAAATGCTAACATCAGCATGCTAACATGTTGACAAATAAGTGTTAGTTTACTATGTTTAAAAATGTTAGCTTAGCATGCATTTAGGCTTATGTCATCAAGTTTTGCAGGTATTTGGTCATAAAGCACCAAAAAAAAAATCAAAATCAAATCCTTCCAATAGCTGTTGAAAACCCCCAAGAAGGCAAAAAACAAAACAAAATATAAGAATAGAGATAATAGCAGGTGAAAATAATGTAGTGACATGCTCAGTGTCTGGAAAATGTTACATCTTCTTCAGGGTGAGGGTTACTTAGCAACATTCAGACTCAGAACAGTTAGCAAAATCACTGCTTTGACTTGAAATCGATGGACACGGTGCAATTACAGAGACAAATGTAGATGGTTAAAAAACGTCCGAGACTGAAAAGCCTGCAATGAACTCAGACAGGCAGACAACAAGACAGACTGACAATTATGTTGTGAAGTCATTCATTTTCTCCACAGCAAGTTTATGTTTGGGTGAGACTGAGGCCATGATTCAACTTTGGAGGTGTATGAGGTGCTCAGGTGAGACATGGCGTAAAAGAAGAAGTGCTCCTGAGGGCACAGGACTACCAAGACAGGTGTACGTGCATCATTATATCTACTGCGATGCATCAAAGTTTCCTGGAATCCAAACTCTCTAAGGGCAATGGTCACTGTTGACTGTGTGTTTGTGTGCGAGCATGTGCGGACCAACCCCTCATAAAGCATAATTACAAGGCAGAGATGGTGATTGTCAGACTGAGGCTGCCTTCTTCATTTCCTGTTGGTTTTGTTGGTTGGTGAGCAGTGGGAGTTACAGTCTTGCTTAAGCGCTGACAGTCTTCAGCTGGGACACCGGTGTCTGTGTCAGTGTGGTCTGTGGTGTGTGAGTGGGTCTGTGTGATTGTCTGGTTGACAGTACATTCACATGTTTGTACGCAGATCTAGTGCGCCAGTCTGTGGGTAATGATTGAGGTCATACGCCTCTGCCCCTTTTCCACTGATCAGAACTTGCAGTAAACACGTGTATTTATTATTTCCAAGAACATTCTGAGGTTTGTTTGTCTGATCTTCCAGAGAAGCTGTTGGATTATCATTAATTTATGCTAAAACATGATACAGCAGCACTATGCTGGGGTTTGGTAAATTGATGTAAGTCTGTTTGTTCTCGTTCTTTTTTGTGAAGACAGAAAAGTGGTGATATTTTCGTGAAGGCTTTGGGTTATTACAGAGGTTGGTTTTAGGAGTCAGATGAATTGTTGAGGTCAGGTTTGTATTTCTTGGCTGGGGATTGTAAGTCAAAGTAATTTGATTTCATACACAATCAAGAGTACCGTGCCAGGCCTTGAAAATGTATGTGTGTCTTGTACTTCTTTGTGTCAAATGTCCTCGAAAAAAGAAAAAAATCAATCTAATCTAAAAGAGAATAAATTTTTTATAGGTATATTTCAGAGGTGGGTTTTTATATTTACACTCAGGGGATTTGTTCCAGTGAATAGATTAATGGTTGAGGTTAGTTTTGTATTTCTTGGATGCATTGTGGAATTGTAATTTAACTATGGGAATCAAACAGCTGAGGTTTACCCCATCGAGAGCATGCTGCTCTTACAGTATACCTCCAAAAATAGGCAAATTCTTCTACAAAGTAGGGAAACCTTTGGAAGGACAGAGAGTTATTTCTGCTTAGGTTTAGTGTTGGGGGGATGAGGTCCATCTCGTAAATTAGGGGGTAAGATTAGGTTTGTAGTTTGGGATTAATTTTACTGTCAAAGGTTAGGATTAAAGAATGGTATAAAACGGAAAAAGGATTTGGGGTTTGGGAAGAAAGATTTGAGTCCAAAATAGCCAAAGTTTGATCTTCTCTGAACTACTAAAGAATCAATGTGTGTGTGTGTGTGTGTGTGTGTGTGTGTGTGTGTGTGTGTATGCGGTGCTGACCTGATCACTTTGGTCCCGCCCCTGATGACCTGCATGTCCACATTACAGGTGCCATTTGAATGTGAGACGAGGTTGACCTCTGAGAACTCAGCCTGCGAGGATGGAAAGAGGACACGAGACAGTTTAATCAGCTTTAAACATTAAGACTTGATGCAGAAGTGATTAAATACATGAGTCCCAATAAATAGTAAATGCTGCATAATCATACACGGCAAGTTTGCTGTTCATCAAATTAAGAAGAATATCAGATTACATTATTCT